TGATTCAACAGAGAACTTAGAAATTTTATAGCCGCTTTTGAAGGAGCTGTGTCTTTGCTCTGGGAACTGTTATTGGGCATGTTAAAGCTGTAATGATACAGCTAAAAAATATATATATATTAAAAAAAAACCATGCTGACCCCAAACAATTTGGGGATAAAAGGGTTTATTTTATCTTATAGGTTATGGTCCATCATTGGGGGAAGCCAAGATGTCTGGCCTTGGGGAACTATGTAACTTCAAGTCCTTGACCAGACATTGGTCCCTAGGCTGCTCTCATGGTCAACTCTCAAGTTGGAGCAGGGCTTACAATCAACCACTAAATCATGCTTGTTCTGCCTCCCAGGAAAAGTGCTCGTCTGTCCACTCCCTTTCTACTGTCTTTGACTTGGGCTAGGGCCAGCACTGGCGCTTCTCCCAGGGGGCTCCTGCTTCTCATCTCACCCAGGCCCAGTTTCTTCAGTCATGTTTCTAAAACACAATGCAGGTCCCTTCCCCATTGCTTCACTGTCCTTGAGAAGGCGTCCAGACAGATCAGAGGCCCTTCATGCCCAGTTCCTCCTGACGTCACCAGCCTCCTTTCTTGTTTGCTGTCTGCAGCTCTAGCACTACCAACTTCTGTCCCCACTTCTCCTTGGTGTCACTTTTTTTAGGATTTGTTTTCTTGGGCCTGCAGAGATGACTCAGCAGTTGAGTGAACTTTGCTGCTATTGAACCTGAGTTCAGTTCCCAGCACCCACATCAGGCAGCTAACAGCTCTCAGTACTCCAGCTCCAGGGGATCCAATGTGCACAAACCCTTACACACACACTCGGCTTTAACCTGTCTAGCTGCTATCTCCACCAATACATTTAGCAAATGTGTTGCTCATGATCGGCATTTGTTCTGTGACTGTAAAAGTGTAACCATCCCCTGGAGAGATGGCTCAGTGGTTAAGAACACTGGCTGTTCTTGCAGAAGACCCTGGTTCAAATCCCAGGACCCACATGGCAGCTAACAACTGTCCCTAACTCCAGTTCCAGGGGATCCAACAGCCTCTCTGTCCTCCACAGGCATTACATGACACGGGTGCACTTACCTACACGCAGGCAATGCAAACATACACATAAAATAAAAATCTTTTGTAAAAAGATAAAAACTTAAAAGACTGTGTGTTTGAATGAGTGTTTTACTTGCATGGTATGCATGTGGGCCATGTGTAAGTAATGCCCTCAGAGGCCAGAAGAGAGCACCAGAATTCATCGAAATGAAGTTAACGGTTGTGAACCTCCATGTTGGTACTGGGAACCAAACCCAGACCCTCTGCAAGAGCAAACGCTCTTAACCCTATACCACCTCCCGCTCTGGTTTTACTTCCGTTGAATCCACCTCCCACTCGCTCCACCCCCACTGTCTCTTTTGCCCACTGACTTCACCTCCGCTGACTACGCCCACTGCCACCATCTCCCATTGTTTATACCACCCTTTGACTGTGTCTCTCACTGATTCCTCCTCCTGCTGATTCTTTCTCCCACTCTGGTCTCCTCCCAGCTCTGGCTCAGTCATCTTATCCTCCTATCTCACCACTGTGGCTGTCTTCCCTTCTTCTGGACCTGTGCCCTGAACTGCCTAAGGTGTGCTCCTGGCTCCTCCCCCTCTGCCATCTGTTTCTGCTGTTAGTTCCTCAGGGTGGAAGAAAGATGGTATACATGGAAGAGTAAGGGGAACCCGGAGGACACCATGAATCATACCAACCTGGTTTCAATTCTAAGGGACATAAAGTGGTTTTCATTATTTTTTTTGGTCTTTTGGAGACAGAGTCTCTCTGTAACCCCAGCTGGCCTGGAACTCACTATGTAGACCAGAGTGCCCTTGAACTCACAGAGATCCACCTGCCTCTGCCTCCTGAGTGCTGGTGTGCACCTACCTCCATGCCCAGCTAAAAGAGCTGCTTCTACATGAAATGACATGCATTTTGTTGTTTTTGTTTACTCAAATGTAATTTGTGAACAAACTGAACTCAAATCCAAGTAGAAAGGAAGAAACAAGCTTGGTGAGGAGGCACTCTTCCTCATTTCAAATATACCCTCATGTGTGCTATTTTTGATGACCTTTAATATAGAGGTGGATGGACCTAAAGTTGAGCCTTAATGGCCCCTCGATGATCCTGGTGTTCATGCCCATGCCTGATTCCCTTTACTTGCATGCAGGCAGAACCTGTGACTGGCATCTAATCCGCAGGGTACAGCAACAGTCATGGGATGGCACTGCTGTTGTAACATAGTGAAATGCTGTATTACATAAGGCCATCTTGGGCTGAGAAGATAGCTCTGTTGGTAAAGGGTTTGAGGACCTAAGTTTGAGCTCTAGAACCTGCCTGCACAAAAAAGCCGGGCATGTTGGCATGCACTCGTAATCTTAGCTCTGGGGAGGTGGACAAGCAGATCTCTGGGGCCCACTGGCCGGCCAGCCTAGCCTATTCAGTGAGCGTCAGGCCGAGAGATCATGTCTCAATAAACAAAGTGGACAGCTCCTGAGCAACACTGAATGTTGTCTGGCCTTCACACACACATGCATGTGTACCTGTAGACACAAAATTAAATGGAAAAAACAAAAAGCAAAAAACCTTAGTCTGTAGACTTTTCTGGCTTACTTGATGAAGCAGCCACCATACCAGGTAGAGCAACAGTTGAGGAAGTGCCCCAGCCTCCATGAGCTGAGGGCAGCCTCCAAAATGATGGCCAGCAAAAAGCCAGGGCGTCAGAACTTGTGTCCACAGCCACAGGAAAATGAAGTTGGACAGGCTGCCTGGCGGCATGAGGAATCTCTCCCTCAGTTTAGCCTCCAGATGAGAACCCGGCCTCCGGCTGACACTCAGCTGCAGCCTCTAAGATCCCAGGCAGAGATCCCAGCTGAGCTGTGCCTGGTCCCTGACCCAGGGGAGCTGTGAAGTATGTGGTCATTTGTCACAGAGCCATCAATGCCTGGCACAGGCAGGAGGGAGGAATGTGAAGGGTGGCTCAACAGGGAGTGGGAAGTGCGTTTGCCTGCACAGCTGTGTGGGCGCTAAAGGGTCACAGCCCGATGGTGAGCGCAGCAGCAGCCTCTTTAGGGCATGCAGCAAGTAGGAGGCATTTGTTGACTGGAACACTAACCAACCCAGAAATGCAGAACAGCTTCACCGATGTTGGGGGACTCTTGGAAAACTAGGTGTGTGCGCTTCCCTTCATCTTTCATTCCCACCTTCTGCGACACTGGTAGATGTCTTCTTTCACAAGCCGGTTTTCTCTGGTATGCATAGCCAAGAGTTGATTGTCACCTAGAGCTCCCAAGTGCTGTGCCAGGGGTGATGGCCCTGCCTCCTGGGTAAGGGTTCATGCGTATGCCCATAGCTGTACAAATCAACACTGGCCAAGGAGGTGCAGTCACTGGCTTGTGGGCACTTCTTACTTGGGGTGCCAGGGCCAACACATTTCCCCACTGTTCTACAAAACAGTGAGAGTCTAACTTAATTTTCCAGCAAAGCGCTGTGTCTAAGACCTGAAGACTGAAAGTCTGAGAGCCTGTGTGGGTGAAGGTACCCTAGAGTGAAGGCACAGAGCAGCAGAATCTCCCAGAACAGGGAGGAGGCTCTGCAACACTGTACTGAATGGTGGGAGCAGACCATGGAGAGGGAACCCAAAGAAAGACCTTCGAATGAAGCCACGATGGGAGCTGCAGTCTCAAGAACAGAACAGGTATCCATGGAGCCTCCGGGGAACCAGGACCAGAAAACCCAGGTCCAGGGAGTGGATCACTCTCATAGCCTTGAACCCTTGAGGTACCACAGGGTAGAGCCCAGCACAAACATCGTGTCTGTAAGGATGCGTTTTTGGTTTATGAGAGGGGAGTTTGCTATGCAGCTCAGATTTGTACTGAACTCATGATCTTCCTGCCTCAGCCTCTTGAGAGCTGGGATTTCAGGTAGGTACCACCGTGTCCAACCACAATGTCTTCTAGGCCAGGGCAGGTCACCATCAGTAGATGGTGTCAGGCATCTAACTTATGTCAGTGTCTGTCTGTGTTACCAAGAAGTCACCCTACATGGGACATGTGGAGGAGCCACCCTGAGGACCGCTGTCCATACCAACAATCTCACTTGGCTGTGACATCCCATTCTGCTCTTCCCAATGGTCCCACTCTTGAAACATGGCAGGAAAACACCCAGGCTGGAAAAGAGAATTCCCACAGATGTCACAGCTCCTACACATACCAGCCTGGTTAGCTCTGCTGAGTCAAATCTTTCCGCACTGACAAGCGACACCAAGACAAACAGCTGCACAGCCTTAACCATGGAACATTTGCCAAGGGATAACCAGCCCTGGGTCTCAGGGCACCTGGAGGTTTTTCCACCACTGTGACTTTTTTTCTATTTTTCTTTTCTCTTCTTTAAACATGTAGCCCATGCTGGCCTAGAACCCACTATGTAGCTGAGGATAACCCTGAACTCCTGATCTTCCTGCCTCTACCTCCCAAATGCTAGGATTACAGGTATGTACCACCGCACCCGGCTTTTTATTTTTGGACAGAGTCCTGCTATGCAGTCCAGGCTGGCCTTTTCCCTCCCAAGTGCTGGCTAGGATTACAGGTATATGGTACCATTCCAGTGTCTCTATTCTTTCAAACTCCTACAGTGAACAAAAGATGCTTACCAACAATTCTATTTGGTGCTGTGACAATCCACGTCCACACACATACATAACACGTGTCACAGTTTGCCTCCAAGAATGATCAAATTTTCATATAAACCACAGAATATATTTAATTCAAATTAAACATGAAACTAGAATAATATTCGGTCCTTATCAAGTAGCAATTACATTGTTTTGTTTTTTTAAAAAGAACAGTACATTTATCTCTACATTCTGGCAATCCACAAGGCACGAAGTCACATCCAGTTTGATGAGGCGACAGAGCCAGCAGTCGCCATCAATGCTCAAGGATCAGGGGATTTGGGGGAGACACAGACTGTGTTTAATACAAAATGATTCTGCAGCAAGTGAAGGAATGGAGGCTCCCTCTGGATAAGTGAGAATGAAAGTCCAAGTAGCAGGAAGTAGGCAACTTACATAATTAACGTGTTTTATTAAATAGATAGTTCAGTCTTCCTCTTCACTCGCTGTTGCTGTTCACGCTGCCTGTGTTGACAGCGCTGGCAGAGGCTCCCACATGGTTTTCAGCAGTAATACTCTCTGTTCTTGGTATTTCTCTGTTCTGATTACTTTTGGCATGATTTCCATCCCAGCTAAAGAAAGCCAACAACCTCTTCCAGACACAGGTCATTCAGCATTTAGTGTCGGCCTTTACCGTCTTCTTGAGCTGCGTGGAGCCCAGTCCTGCATGGTCAGGCCTCTTCTCCTGCCTTCACTGTAAGCTTTTCACTGTTTGGTCTGCAAAGACAGAGGCTTGCTTGGCCCAGTTCTGCTCAGCAGGGTGGAGGGGACCACGGGCCGGCAAGTGGCTTTCTTCACAAGGCGGTACTTTCTGTGTCATTGTCTATGTCCAGCAGAATGTGGCCAGGCACTTCTTTGCTTGCCAAATCTGAATGTATTTCTGGAAAGATGCTGCGAAGCGGTTCTGAAACTCTAGAATTGGTGTCTGGTTGGAAACATGAAGAGACGCGGCATTAGTGAGGGGAAGGCCCAAGACATCACTGAGGACGCTCTGAGAAGAGGCTAGAAGCTGAGTTAGTCCACGCACACACAGTCCCCTACTAGAGGTTTCATTATCCCTGAGAGGCTGATCCCTTAATACCCCAGACACCCCAGCTGCTTGCCACAGCTTACCTCTGGGCTCTCGTGCTCTGTTCTGTGAGCCTGGGCATGACCCTTGAAGAATTTGCTAGCTGTGAGTGAAGGAAACTTTACTCTAACCAAGGCCTCTAAAGTACTAACGAGAGCAACACCTAAGTTGTAGGGGGAGAGCTGCCCTGTCACGAGCTCACCTGTCATGAGCTCACCCTGTCACAAGCTCACTCCTGAAGCTGATGGGGTTTCCTCTTGGTAATAAGCTGTAACTTCAACCTTGAGTGAGTCAGTTTGGGTTGAATCATTCTGAGTTGTGGGGGACTGTCCTGTGCACTGTAGGATGCTGAGCAGAACCCTGGCTTTTCCCATCAGACGATGGTGGCACATAGCCCCTTGTCCCTGAGAGTGGGTGACAACCTGCAATGTCAACATCAGGAACTATGTGTCCCCCGTGGGGCACATTCACTCCCTGTGAACAATTTAAGTAGATAACTGAATCTCTAAATATTATTTTTTTCCCAATACTTAAACATTGAAATCTCTCTTATGCTGGTTGAAATTCCTTCAGTAAAAATAGCAAATACACGGTTCTCAAGCAACTGTCCCCTCTTCCATATTCATAAGACACTTTCATTCTCCACAGCTCTCTTCCCAGAGAAGCTAGTAGGTCTGAGATACAGTCACGAACAACTACATGCCAGGCCCTGCTCTACCTGCCGAGGCTGCAGCAGTGAATGTGACAGACATGGCCTTAATGAAGCCCACAGGGGAGTCAGAGACTGGCTTCCACCTTCCTTGTCCTGCCCCCTCCAACATGCAATCTCTCTATAGTTCCGAGCCATGAGGATGTTTTTTCCTGGGGATATGCCTTTTTTTCTCACAGTGACTCCTGTCCTTGGTCAACAGACCTATACCTGTACAACTTGGGGGAAATCCAAGACTCAAGGAGGTTCCAAAGGTTCAGCATTCACACACTTTCATTTTAGACAATTCAGGTCTTACAGTAGTTGGAAAACCAACTGACTGGGGCTCGATCTCATGGTTCAGTGCAGTCAAAAGCAGTCTGTATGCAGAGAATTAAGGATGTCTTAGACTTGTGGCTCACCCAGGGCAGGGGGAATATCTGCCTAGTTCACAGTGCACCCTCAGTGCCTACAGCCATGACGGGCACACAGCAGGTACTCTATAAACCTTGTGGCTGGGCAGTTGATAGGCAGATGAATGAAGAATCACCCAATACAACCTTTCAACCCTCCCCCATATCCTCAAAGAGGCCATAACTCAAAGACAACACTATAACAAGAAACCATCATAAAGTCAATCTCTTCTCACAGCAGATGGTGCTGTTTGCCAGCATCTCCTTAGCCCAAAGCATTTACAAAAGCCCAAGGAACAGACATGACCTGGTAGAGCAGGCAGGATGCAGACCCGTATGTACCAATCAGAGATCTGTTAGATCTGTATTCATGTGCAAGGGGAAACCTGTCAGCAATTAACCCTTTCAAGGACAACCTGGCTCTCCTTAAAAAATTCATCACATATCAATTCTTAATTTTTCTTTTTCTGAATTTCTTTAATTATGATGAAAATAATCATTTGCTCAGGATAAAAATGGGTACTGTGCGTGACATCCCTTCCTCTGCCTTGGGCCACCCCACCTCTGGTTTCTTTAGTCTCTTTCATTCTTACAGGAATTATTTTGTAGGGAAACGAAACAAAACATAAAAAACCCAAACGAAACCAAATAACAATCTGTGGGTACAGAGTAGTAAGAAGCAGTAGTAAGAAGGTCAGCAGTGTGTGCAGGACCAGTTTTAGGAAGGAGAGATAACAATACTGTCCATTGTTACAGACTGAAGGTATGTTCAAGCTCCACACACCGTCACACCACCTCAATGAACTGCTGTGAAATAACCTTCTGCCAGCATTAGCACCACTTGGAGACCAGAGAGGGAGGTGCCCAGGGGCTCTGCTTCAAGGACAAGTGGGCAAGGGTCAGACATGGGGAACAGCCAGCAGGGCTGGACTCAGTTTCCTAACTGCTTTACATTTCTCCCCCTTTCCAAAGGACTGAGTGGATTCTTGGTGAGGGTCCAGAAGGAGAAGACATCATCTGCGGGGTCAGTGGTTGAAGTCTTAAACACTCAGGTTCATTGTAGTAAAAAGAAGTGTTATACTGGAAAGACACAAGAATTCATTTTTCTTTTCTTTTAATGCTTCTCTTAAGTCTCTAGTTTATATATTATCTGTATTCCAAGAAGGGCTGGACTTTGAGTATACTGCTTAAAGTTCATATGACATATCATTTAAAAAAAAAGAAAAAAGGAAAAAACAGCCAAGAACTACAGAGGAGACACATCCAGGAACTGGCCTCAGCCCTAAGGCAGAATGTGATATGACCGATGGACTTGAGGCTCTCACAAATGCATCCTAGGATCCTTTTTGAAGGAGTATCTTAATCCAGAAGACAGGCCCCCCTAAGGGACACAGATCTAGAACTGTCACTTCAGCGAGTTTTGAGTATGTTGGGTTTTAACTCTATTCTACAGAAAGGCCATTGTGACAGCATCTTGTAGGAGTATCAGATTCAAGCACAGCCTTGAAATCAAGTACAGAGTGAAGCCCCAAAGTCTGCTACCCCTACCTGCCTCCTCTTTAACCTCAGGTCTGAGAGTCCCACATCTTTCTTTTTCTTACCTGTTTCCAGGACCACATAAGGTTCTATTCTAGGAGCGGAGTCAACCTTTCACTGCTCTAGTCAACAAGAAGATTATACTCAAGACTCCCTGAATGTCTGGCGTGAAGTGATTCTGTCACCTACTTAGCAAACTGCAAGTAGAAGCAGAAACGCACCATGTGTCCCACCAGACATAGTAATACATCTACTTATGAAACAGTATGCAGTTATCAAAAAGAAATACTGTAACGTACATGAGAGACTGCACAGGATGCAAAGGAAGTAAAAATGCAGGATTGAAATCTGCACAAGGCAAGTAAGATCATGCACCTCCTTCAGAAGAATAAAACATTTTTTTCTAAAAGCAAGATTATAAGCAGACTTCTGTAACTGGAGAAATATATGATCAACACTTATTATTTCTATTTCCCTAACTTTCTTTAATGCCTGTCCGTCCGTGCGTGTGTGCGTGCGTGTGTGTGTGTTTTGCCAGGGGATGGAACCTAGGGCCTTATGCATGTCAAGTAAGGGCTCTACCACTGAGCTACTTATTCTTCCCCAGAGCCATCATACTTATTTTTTAAAAATAATCACTTTTAGCCAGGTGTGGTAGCAAACACCTTTAATCCCAGCACTCGGGAGGCAGAGGCACTTGGGAGGCAGAGGCAGGCAGATCTCTGTTGAGTTCAAGGCCAGCCTGGTCTACATAGTGAGTTCCAGGCCAGCAGGGACTACAGGGAGACCCTGTCTCAAAAAAACTAAAGAGAGAGAGTGACAGACAGAGAGAAAGAGCACCCCAAGTGCTAGCTCGTGTTTTTCTAGTTTTACAAGTACTTGCAAGTGACCCCGTCTGTCTATCACATAGTGAGGAATGACCCCTGGGTGTTCTCAGAGCATGCTCACTCCATTAACAGTATCTCCTGCTTCAGAGCACCACCTTTTAAATTCATGGAAGAACTGATAGCAGGAAGCCCATGTGGTACATCAGAATGAAAAGTCTGAATATCTGGGTGGTGCCCCTAGCCTACTGTCTGTCTAGAACGGTCCAAAGGAAGGCACAGTTTGCACGTGTAAGTTTAGAATGCTGCTATATGAAATCTGTCATTTTGATTAAAAATATCTGCTTCTGGATAAACATGACCAATAACTACCATTCATTTAGATCCACTGATATTGTGGGTTACTAGTGCTTTTTAAAATTTCATCTAATTTCACCCCTTCGTCAGCTGTGCCCAAGGTCGGCACTGTATACATTAACTGGCTGGGTCTGGCCTGGTGCTAAAGAGTCGATTCTCCCATGAATTTCTCCAACTACAGCACATGCTCTTTCTACTACACCTCAAGCCTGCTCAACAGAGGAAAGAATGCAAATGAAGAAGTAACAAGGCCAGCCCAGTGACCACCTGTTACACGTCCATGAACATACTTAGTACTGAGGACAGCGGACAAGAAGCATGGACAAAGCCAGCCCTTCTTAGTGCATGCACTATTAGTAGGGATGCAGGCAGGCAGGGTTAGGGTGACTGGTTAGTGACAGGCATTAGTGCACAAATATGATCAAGTAGCAAAAATGCTTTGGCCAATCAGGTGCCTTTTCCTTACCATTAAATTTTCCAATTTCAGTTCTTACTGAATATGGCAGGTCATACATCTAAATTATTTAATAAAATTGTTTAAATTAGAATACTCTTTGCTAAAAGCCACTGCTTTCCAGAGTTACAATGAAGAACTTGACATTCAGAATGAACCAAAACCCCTCTCTTCTCCAGAGCTCAGCTCTGGTACTGAGATGCAGGGAGTTCGATACCAAACCTGCGCGTCAGCGGTGACTTCTCATAAGCGTTCACCTTAATCCCACAAGCCTTACTCCAATTCTTTACAATTAAATGCTCTGAATAGATAACAGGCCAAGAACCTGACTTGAGTTTTCACAGCGAAAGCATGATATCATAATAAATGATTGTGCTGTTGTTTTCTTTTTCTTCTTGAAAACCGCCAGGGCTACATTCAAGAAGGATTACTAACCAACTGCATGATCAACACTAGGGGTTTCCCAAATTCTAAACGCTGGTCTTCTGTAAATTTCCAAGGGTGGTCCAGGGGATTTTGAGATACACTACACTACAATACAAAGGTCATCATGGGAACTTTGAATTTCTTGTGCTAGGAGAATTCACAGCACTGACTACAAAAAATTTAGTTAACATCTTAAAAGAAACCATCTTTAAGTGTAAAATTTCACCTATCTAATTATACAGTACATGAATGATAGATAAATCAATAAAACAAGCTTCTGGCATAAATATACCCTGGTGACCATGGTATTACAGAATAGGCATAATTCCGGATGGTAGTCTGCTCTCTAATCTAAATAAAAGGAGAGGTCTAGGAATTCAATTTTGGTGTGACACAGTATTAAAGTGTTAAAAGGTTCAGCCTTAATTGGGGTTTAGTCACTTGACTTCTGGGTTAATCACCAGGTCATGAGGAAGGCAAAGGACTGCCTATGTGCTCCTTAGTGGTTTCAAGCTATGAACTAAGCTATGAAGACCCATGTTATGTGGCCCACAAAAGGCTGAGGGCTCTGATTAAAGCAATTGTGCCACACAAGAGCCCTCTGTTGGCCCAAAGGGAGGTTAAGATGAGCCTCAGAGCGCCTTTTAAAACCCTATACATTGAGGCAAGGATAATTGAAGCATGCTGGAATGCAAAGAGTTTAAAGGAATTCAGGGGATTACTGGGGAAAAATGGGGAGGAGGGCTGAGAATTTTAGACATCAATTAAGAAGCTCCATGCAGTTAACTTGCACTTAAGATACGAAAATTAAAAATTAAAGCTCAAGACACAGGGACACGATTTTCTGTACAGCTGGCACTCTGGTCTTTTGCTGGATGCTGATGGACCAGTGACAGGTCAATGGCCTGGGGAAGAGCAGAGAGGCTTACCATAAAGAAAGAAAACCACCAGCATCTTGTCTGAGGACCTGAAGCTAGGTTCTCAACCTAGTGATATCCACCTCTTGGATTTGGGGCATTGCAGCTCAAAGTGCTTCTGATATGGCAAAAGGAACAACTATAGGCATAGAATGGACAGCCTACTGACTGCCACAGCACAGGGTCAAATGGCCACTCTGCAGCACAAAGTCAAAAGCACGCACGCTGAACACAGCTAAGCGGGAGCATTTGGAGCTGCAGTTCAAGCTGCTTGGGGGGTGGGGTAGGGGTGGGTTACAGACCTTAGTCCTGGAAACCTTCCCCACCTGTGAGGGCACTAGGAAAGGCATCTATTGGGAAACAAACAGCAAACAAACCAATGTGGCTTTGTGGTTTTCAAAATAAATACTCTGATGCCATAGAGAGAGTTATTAACCATTGATAACATGTAAACTATACATCATATTCCTAGAAAAAAAGACTTTTATAGTTAGGTAACACATCAGTTAGGGAGTTGGTGTGAAGTGTATCACTGGCTCATTTTCTGTTGAGAACTCACTGGGGAGGGTTGGAGAGCCAGAGGCATGCTTCTACGCACATGCCTCTGTGTAGGACAACCTACAACTAGGCTGCTGTAGGTAAGGCAGCCTGCTATAGGAAACACAGCTGGAACAACCATTCAAAACATAGTAAAGAACCTCAAGTAAATAGCAGATTTCCAGTATCTGGGATGTCAATTATTATTAATTTTTATTTATTTATTTATTTATTTATTTATTTATTTATTTATTTATTTATTTATTTTTTTGACAGAGCCTCCCTGTAACCCCAGTTGGCTTGGAACTGACTATGTAGACCAGGCTGGCCTCAATCTCACAGAGATCCATCCACCTGCCTCTGCATCCCAAGTGCTGGGAGTAAAGGCATGTACCACCACTCCTGGCTGTGATGGAAATATTAACATAATTAAATAAAACAATCATGTTCTATAGGACTGTTTATACAACATATCCCATGAGGCTGCACTACAGTTGTATAAAGCCCACCGCAAAACAGGTTTCCACTGGGGTAACAGGAAAATCTCTACACTTCCCTCACAAACCACTTAAGACTAGCACTATGATGCCATGGGGCTGGGAGACCTGCCTTCCCAGACCTGTATTTGGAATTCTGCACTTACTATGTGCATTTTAACTTTTAGGATATTAATATATAGCAATAAGGTTTTTGTGTTTTTATAAATTTTGGAGACTACAGTCTCAAGTAGCCCAGGTTGGCCTAGAACTTGATTTAGAGCAGAGGCTAGCCTTAAACTCCTGGTCCTTCTGCCTCCGTTTCTTAAATGTTAGGATTAAAAGCTTGGGTGACCATGCCCAGCTTGGCAAGAATTTTAATAAAAAATTCACTAAGAAATGAAGCTCATGCTGATACTGTATAACACCTTCTGCCTAGATTAAAGCTCATGCTGATACTGTATGACACCTTCTGCCTAGATTAAAGCTCATGCTGATACTGTATAACACCTTCTGCCTAGATTAAAGGGTCATCATACTTTCAAGTATTTTAGGAAACTACAAATCAGGGCCCAGCTAGTGTAAGTTAGGGTTTGCAGGCCTTAATGACTTGCAGCCACTACCACTCAGCTCTGCTTCTAGGGCAGCGGCAAAGAACAGCAGGGTGGCTGTGCACCGGGTGGCCCCCACCAGCATGCATGGCCAGCTACTGGCTTGCTGCCACCTGCTCTCAATGGAAGAAAAGGGGAAGACCCTGTGACGGAGATGGGAAGCGGGATCCCTGGCTACTCACCAGTGACGATTTTGGAGGCGGTGGGTGCCCCTGGGCCGAGGCTGCTGTCCCCGGGTGTGTGGGCACCGGGTGGATGCGGGGGCGGTGGCACGCTGGGCCGGTTACGGGGCTTGGGGACTGGCCGCGGTCTTGGGAGGGTCCCTGCCTGTGGCAGGGTGGACTCGGGGTGGGCGTTGGGATTCTGTTTGGCCAGAGGCGGGGGGCTGGGTGGCGTGGGGGTCTGAGGCGGGGTGGGGCCGGGCTGCTCCAGGCCGTGCTCCTGGCTGGACCTGGGTTGTGTCGGGGGCTGCGGTGGTGGGTGGCTGGGGGCCTGGATGGGTAGCAGGCTGCTGGAGAAACGGCGTGGGCCTGGGGGCTGCTGCAGGGGCGGGGACGGGCTCCTTGTGGATGGCTTTGGTGACACACTGGGAGGAAGCACAGCTGCTGCTCCTGGAGAACTCTGGCCCACGGGGTGGCCGGGAGGTGGGTTTCCTGGTTTGGGGGGTGCTGGGGCAGGTTTCTTTACAGCTGCACGGAAGAGAGAAAACAGGTTCAGCAAGGGCAGTGCAGGGACTGCAAGGTCATCAGCCAGAGGCCCAGGGCTGGGCTCACCCAGAATCAGCCAAGAGAGTGCTCCCCAAACCCTAAATCCAGTCTACCATCAAAACACCATCTGGTAAACTGAAAGCCAGGAAACTCTAGGAAACTGAACCCTTCCCAGACCAGAGGAAAACTAAAGAGCCAAGAGGACTCATGCCAAGGAGTCTCCTGGGTGGGACTTTGGAAGGGAAGATGGTCACCCAGGCCAAATAGAAAATCCAAACCCAGCATGGAGTTAGTGACTACTTACACACCGACACTGGCGCCTTAGCCTGGACAAATGCACTATGGTAGTGCCAGGTACTAACAATAGGGGAAATGGGCCAAGGGAAAACAGGAACTCAACTTTTCTGAAAATTTAAACTGTTCTAAAATAATGAATTAATTTTAAAAGTTCAGTGCATCATTATACACATATAGGCCTTTTGTGACCTGTCATTTTAGAAGTTTAAGAAGAAGAAAATTCAGTTTAATAGAGGCCATATACCCACATCAAAGAGCTTATGGAGGGCCCTCCGTGGCACTTTGCCAGCATCCTCTCAAGACTCCAAAGCACAAGAGGAAACCCAGGAGGGAAAAGCAGGGGCTCCCACCTCACTCACCACAGCCCTCCCAAGCCTATTCTCAGAGGTGCTGACGTGGGGTGGCGTGGATGATGACTACTGGGGATTGAGTCCAGGACTTCCTGATGGCAAATAAACATGCTACCACTGAGCTACACCCCCAGCCCCTAATTTCTTTGCTTGTTCCAGAACCGTTTGAGTTAACAGATATAGTCTAGATAGAAATACAAAGAAGCCTACAATTGGTCCCTCAGGAGAGCTGAATCACCATCCCTGTCTTGACGCCAGCTGAGATCTGAATGGACTCTGGAATGGACAGGCTGGAAAGGGGCAGAAAGGAGCACTATCAGCATGCTTCCCCAAGAAAGGGAGACAGAAATGAAGGGTGGACACAAAGGGAACATTCACCTGACAATCACCTGTGCCATGTCAGGCCTTTTGTACACTATCTCATGTCCATCTCAATAGCTCACTGCAGGACTGGCACGAAAGCAGAGGAAATGAAGCCTAGAGTGGGCAAGTGTTTTCTAAGAGGTCACACAGCTACGTGATGGATCAGATTCAAACCTAGTCACGTGGATTTCTTCCCATACCGTTTTTCTCCCAGTTCACAGGGCCCAGAATTCAGGAAGTAAAGAGTAGAGCCTGCTCTGCTCTGCTAGCCTAGAACTTTGAGTCTTGCAACTTAGAAGACCTTTTCCCATAGAAATAACCAACGAGCTTTCAGAGGAAAATCTCCTTGGACTATTAGCCACACTCTTCTGCAAGCAATGAAAAAAAAAAAGCTCTGTTTTTTTATTCTAAGCAGCATTAACTGTATACTCCTATTTTAGGAAAGCTTATGTCTGACATTTGCAATGCAGACAGGACAGGAAGCCTGAGAGCAGCACACAGGGGAGTGGGGCCCATGGCAGGGCTGGAGAAAGGAGGGCCTTGTCTGAGACCACGGAGGAGGTACTGGGATGCTGGAGAATGGGCAGGCAGAATCCAGTTCATCCTGCCAGGAAACCTGGGGGCTGTAGAGTCATGAGGGAGTCTCTTTCTGAAAGGAGAGCTATAGCTGAGCCCAGGTAGGGAAGACAACTTCCCTCCAGGACAATTTGGGACCGATGGAGATGATGGCAGTGCAGAGGAGGGCAGCAGTAAGAGGGATAAAGAGGGGGCTGTAACCACACAGTACTGAGCTTGCCTCCCCGACTACAATGCATGGATTACACTATTGTTTGTGTGGTGCTTTATAAAGACAGTGCTTTTGCAGACATACAAAGCCAAGGGGCGAGGCACAGGCCTGTACCCCCACCTAGAAGGCTGGGGGTGGAGGATCGCTGCATTTGAGACTAGGCTGGGCTATGCATAGTGAGATCTTGGCAAAAACAAACAAACAAAAAAAGCCAGACAGGGTCACATAGGCCTTTAATCCCAGCACTCAGGAGGTGGTGGAAGCAGCAGATTTCTTGGTCAGCCTAGACTACATAACGAGTTCCAGACCAGATGGGGCTACTGGGAGACCCTGTCTCAAAAAAAAAACAACAACAAAAAGAAGACAAATACACTCAATTTAATACAATGTCTGCCCTCCAACATTTTTACATCTACTACACACAGGTAAGAAGTAGGTTGGGAAAAGTCCAGTTAGCTCATGACTTTACTAAAGTTAGAACACATGCTTTTGAGCCCCAGGCCTCTTTCCTCTTCCACGATGACCTTGCATTAAGAGTGGCAGCAAGGATACCAGGTTTCCTGGGCTCCTCTTCTGTGGCCACTGCTGCTTCCTGTGGGGCCTTAGCATTTGAATTACTGCCATGGCCAGGTTGGTCTCTGCAACAGCCTAGCCTGCCTCTGACAACACTGCTTGTGGCCTGCACTGTTCCCCTTGAGCAGCTCCACTGCTCAGCTGCCCTGCTCCACAGCTCACTGGGTTTTGTGGGCCATCTACTCCAGTCCTTCCTAATCTGTCCACCTGCACTTTCACTAGGTATGGATGGTTCGTCCAACACAGTCAGATTAGTACTTCTACTGTTCAGCGTTTGCCCTTGCATGTGAGAATCTAATGACAGGAGGTTGGCCAACCTCCTGGCTTCTGCTCCTGGCCCTTGCAGCCTACACACCCCTGAGTGTGAGCATCTGCCATGCTGACATGGTCCTTGTTGAGCATACTAAATAAAACTCAGGTCAACAACTGAAGAGCTGAGATCTGGTGAAAGGAGAAACCCTAACTCTACTGGGTTTATTGAACCCTCACAGGCATTTCCAAGAGCAGCCCTGCTCACTTAAGAGTTCTGTCATGTACCACAAGAAGGTCCTGGCCCTAGAGCAAGAGCTGTAATGTCCCTGGAGGTGTTGTGGCTCCTCTCAATTCTTCTCTATTAACCTGCTTTTCTCTTTAAAGAACAACATACACATTGCTGTGAGCACCTGTACAGTCTACAGTCTAGAATATGCTTAGTGCTATGGTTTGAGTGTGTCCCCCAAAGTCGGTATACTGGGACCTTAATTCTTCAAGATGCCAATGTTGGGGGGGAGGCTTAGTGGGAGGAGCTTCAGTTCTGAGGAAAGAGCCTCATGAAAGGGATCCTGCCTTTCTGGAAGGAACAGGTGAGCTTAAGGCAAGAGTTTGGCCCCCTTGTCTCTCTTCTGAAGGCCCCTTCCCTTCAAGTTCCCACATGGGCTAATGCAGCACAGGCCCTCCCCACAAGCTGAGCAGACACTGGCACCATGCCACCCTTGGCCTTCCCAGTCTCTAGGACTGTAAGCCCAACAACTCTCTTCCCTTTATAAAATCACCCAGTCTTCGGTATTCCGGTATTGCAATAGAAATGGACTTGGTTATATGTGTGGTCTCAGAATTTTCCTCTCTAAGGAGACTGGCCTGACCCTGGAGTAAGAGTACGACTTCCTTATGCACCAGGTCTACACCCTCATCATACCTCCTGCCTGGAGGTTTTCCAATGGCAAAGCTTTTATCCTACTTCCCTGATTGCAGAGAAGATGCTAGAGAATAGACTCAGAAATATTATTGTTTATTTGCCAGAAATCACCGTGAAGTGAGGATCTTCTACACTCTAGTCAACAGAGTTAGGGAATACAGGGCACCCTGCTTCATGAGGAATTTATTTTATTTATTATTATTATTTCATATTATTTATTTATTTTGGTCTTTTTGAGACAGAGTCTCCCTGTAGCCCCAGCTGTCTTGGAACTCACTATGTAGACCATGCTGGCCTTGAACTCACAGAGATCTGCCTGCCTCTGCCTCCCAAGTGCTGGGACTACAGGTGTGCGCCACCACGCCCAGCTTTATTATTTTTATTTTATGTGTATGAGTGTATGTAAGTGTACCTGTCATGCAATGCCCGAGGAGGTGAAAAGGTGAGGGATTCCCTGGAACTGGAGTTTCAGACAGTTGTTAGCTGCCATGCGGGTGCTGGGAATCAAACCCGGGTCCTCTGCAAGAGCAGTCAGTGCTCTTAACTGCTGAGCCATCTCTCTAGCTCTGTTCATGAGGAATTGACCTTGGAGTAAGAAGTGCAACTTCCCTATTGCATCTTTGTTGGAACATGCTTGTGCTGGATAGCTTTAGTGTCAACTTGACACACCTGGGTTGAGGGAGCCTCAATCGGGGAATTGCC